AGGAAGGAAGGAAGGAAGGAAGGAAGGAAGGAAGGAAGGAAGGAAGGAAGCGGGAAAGGACGGAGGGAGGGAGAGCAGATTGGTAAAACTCTGAAGGTGAATGTGAAAGATATATAGTAATTTATGCACAGTTTTGCAACTTTTTGGTAGGTTTGAAATTATGTTAAAATTAAAAAAATTGAAATTCCACTGTTATTATAATTCTGTCATGTGATATAATTCTGTCATGTGGTATTAGAAGCCTAACGTGCTTTTTAATTTTTTTTTACTGGAGTAACAATGAAGCAATGCTACAAGTCCTCCAAATTGTGAAGCCACACCTTTGAAAGTGTCTTTGCCTCTGGTTCCTCTATGCTAAGCTAGCTCTTAGAGGGAGGGTAGAGCCAGCCTACGGCCTATAGCTGCCTCCAAAGGTCACTGTTTTGAGTGTTCTGAACAGAGCTTGCCATTCCGAAGGCATGAGCAACACTCAGCAATTTCACCCAAAACTTTGGTTGAGGCTATTTAATTTGGCTTTCCTTATTTTATTCTGCTATGCTTGGACAACTGTGTGGATCTATTTACAGCTTTCCCGATTGTCTGAGAATGTGGCTTTGAGACAGTGTCATAAGCCATTTCCAACATGGACACTAATGATTTTTTTTATCATACCTAGATCCACTTCTGGGCCTCCCCTCTCCTCTTCTTCTGTAGGGTCGTCTGTGCCACGGGACTTGGGCTGGTCCTCTTCATTCTAAGCAGCTCACCCAGACTGCCTCTCTTGGCCCTTCATTCCAGCAGCTCTCGTAGTGAAATGCTTGACATGGCCCTGCTCGGGCTTGTCCACATGCCAAGATCAACATGCAATACGTACTTCTGGGTTTTTTAAAGCTGACCCCAAAATATCTATTTACCCAGACATTGACATTCTCATGAGTAATAGGCAAAGCTCTGAGTATACACTGTTGGTGGCAAAGTAGAATTCAGAATGCCACTCAGAATTTCAGATTTAGGCAGGGATGTAGAGATTGTCAATTCCAACCATCTCATTTTAGGATAAAGAAAATGGGCAGCAAGTGGTAAATAGCTTGCCTACTAAAACCAGCATTAGAACCCAGGTACTCTGTTTCATGATTCATCAGTTCCTTTTGACTCTACCAACAAAACGAACGCGCTTGGGTAAAATGACCCCAGGAGCCTGAATTATTAAGTAGGTAATGGCAAAGGCAGCCTCCCAAATACATACTTTGGGATTAGAGACAACATTTCCGAATCCTTTTTCATAGTCTTACATGAAGAAACCTCAAACCCAGGATTCTAGCCAAAAACAATGATTCTCAAGTCCCTATGAAATCCTGGATGGATGTTTAACTGGGCAATGTACTAACTGCCTCCCATGGCAGATGAAGGCCTCAACAGAGTTCCAGAATTGACACTTCAAAGGGAGCGGACGTGTGTGTGCATCTGAATCACACACAGTAGGTTATTTGCTCTTATCAACTGGATGAGTGAGTGCAAGAGAACATGAGAGAAACTTCTGAAAAATAATGCAGAATGATATGTCTCCTATTAACTTGATTCACACGTTTCTCACAGATACAGAGAAGTTTACTGAGAAACTTTATAGGGAAACTTCCAGAAACTTCCAGAAAATATATACTGGAAAAGGAATATTTTATTCTTTCTCAGGTCCTAGTACTAAACAGGACAAACAAAACTATTAACTCATGTATTCATTCATTCACTCTCAATCATTCGTTCACTCATTTGTTTATTCATTCACATGATAAATAATTGTTGATTTCCACTTTGTAATAGGTGTCATGATGGATTGCAATGCGGTATTTATATACCCATTCTTGAAAGTTGTTGACGAGGGTCACTTCCAGGGGCTATTAACTCTCTAATACTTCAAGTCTTCCTCATGCCTGGGAAGAGTGGGCTCTAGTGGTCAGAGAGGCCCTTGAATAAAGTAGGTTGGAATTTGGGCCAGTATGTATAAAAATGTTAAATGTCAAGAGAAAGTGCCTAAGGCACAGAGATCGTTGTTCTTAGTGTATTCTTCCAGGACTGATAAGGTCCTCGGTATGGATGGGGAACAGATGGTGTCGGAAGAGGTGGAAGAAGAGACCTCTGAGATCAGAATGAGGCTGAGAGGTTAGGTCAGTAAAAAAGATCTCTTCCGTCATATTAGGAACTTCTTAACAATGGGAAGCTACCAGCATGTGTAAGTATCATCATAATAAGACCAGATTCATAGAAATTAATTTTATAACTGCAGATTTGATTGTGGAGGTTTCATTGTATTCAAAATACTGATGTGTAAAGATCCATCATTGTGTGTGTGTGTCACAAGTAACACTCATCACATATCTATTGAGCACACACTATGAATATTATCGAGTGCCAGGAATATGCTTTTAATAATTTTTTAAACACAGAGTTTACAAGTGATTTCTCTTAATTAAATACAGATAATTCTACAATCACCATGTAATATCAGTTCTACATGCAGTCCCATGTGGTCTCTTGAGTGGAAACACATAGGAAAGGAGCCACAGCCATAGGGCATTATGCTAGCCGTGGGTAACCACCCCACCCCAGGGATATATATATCTTACACATGAGCACCATCTGTCAGCATTAAAATTGTTTTAAAATGTTGGTTTTTAAAATGCAGTGAGATCACAAATGGGACAATTAGAACAATTGGGAAGATTTTTTTCCTGCTATCCAAGAAAGAGATAATGGTCTTGAACTGAGGCTGAATTTTCAATAATCAAAGCAAGGAGATGAATTTGAGCTGGTTACTCTCCATTTGCTGCTTATCCCACCAGTCCCCTTTTACTCCCATCTCTTCCCTTTCTGTGCCCAGGAGCCTGACTTCTGTGACCTACAGCACTAAACTCCTTTACTCACCAATTTTTGGTTAGTCTTTGCTGACTGGAGGCAAAGATGGGCGGGAGGGCAGTCAGGGCTATTTTTGCCCCTGCACCTCTCTTGTATCACCTCAGTTCTGGCAGTGGCTGCATTATACTGTTTCAGCTCTCATTGGGTGGCCCTTCTTGCACAGCTCCAAGCTCACATACAAGGTACTTTTAGGAATTCCATGGCTTCCCTTGCCCCTCTTATTTACTATGGTGTTAGCATCTCACAGTAGTCCCTCGGTCTTTTATTATTCTTTCTCAGCTTTGTCAACCCTATTTTGTAAGTGGGTTCTTTATTAAACTGTCTGCCACTCAGCTCTTTGAATGTTTCCTGCAGGAAAAGTAATTTTTCCAAATAATGAAGATCGTTTCCATGGTTACATGGTTAGACTTTGTGATCAACTGGATGTGTGCATCAGAGGTTGAGAAGAAAGAAAAAAATGAGGACTCTCCAGGCTCTGGCTGGAGCAATGGGGCAGGTATTCAGTGGTGTCAGGGATAAGCCAGAGTGGAACAGAAAGAAGTAGCCTGAAAGGCAGCAGGAGGAAGGAGCGGGCGGGGTCACTTACCAGTGACCTAGTATCTTAGATGTGTTGACTTAAGTTTCCAAGTAGAGGTGCTGCCATTGGAACAGAGGTGTTAGAGTTGGAGCTGAGGAGTGGAATTAAGACTGGAGATAGATTTGGAAGAATGGAAAGCAATTAAGAAAAACTCAGGCAAAATTTGCCACTTCCACTTCCATTCTTTGTCTTCTCTTCTGCTTCTCTCTCTGCTCCACTGCATTCCTCCCCCTCTCCCCATCTCTGATTCTCCACATCTCTACCCAAGGTTACCCTCCCAGAATAATACTGTATAGTTTCAAGCCTCACCTTTTTTATCAGCAAAGATTTCTAGTTCTTAATCCCTCAGTGACCTGAGTACTATTTTCCAAAA